GAGGTCGAAAGTCGGGAGAAGAGCGAGTTTAAAATCACAGAAACGAAGAACACAAAGACCACGAGATATGAGGACAACATAGCTCGACGTGAATCGTCTAGACCGACCTCATCGGTGCTGTACAACAGACCCTCACCACATAAAACGAGATGCTGTTTCTGCAACCGAACAAGCCAGAGCTCTGCAGACTGTTCTTCCTCTCTTCCCCTGGACCAGAAGAAACAGCGTTTGACGAAAGAGATGAGATGCTTCAGATGCACTCTCAGGGACCATCGAGCAAGAGAGTGCAGGTGAAAGATCAGCTGTGCCACATGCAGTGGAAGACACGCTAAGTCCATGTGAGACCCGACACGAATAAAAGCTAAAGAAGGTAAATCTGACCCACAAAACAGCATGACGATTTGTACTACATCAATCCACCGGGGAATTCAGAGAGTCCGGTGTGGTATTTCTGCAAACCTTTCGGGCATGAGCTGTCTGCGGTACCTCATGTAGGTATGTTAGAGGTGTGATGGACGGAGGCAGCGAACAGACGTTTGTCACCGAGGATCTGTCAAGACACCTTGAGCTTAAGTGCGTTGGCTACACCAAGATGGCGCTCAACACGTTTGCTTGTGCTTCAACTCAACAGTGCAAGAAGCGTCGTGTAGTGGAGCTTGAACTTAGAAGCCAATTCAACATGGACGGGTTTAAGATCGAAGCGATCGATATCCCAGTGAAATGTGAAGACATATCAACTTTAACGACAGATTCAGTCTTTGTAGCTGACATAGAGAAAAATGGAGAGTTGATTGCCGATCGCCTCAAGTTTCCAACCGTTGCCGCACAACCAGGCATCAGTATTTTGATTGGCTCTGACCAAATGTGGGGCTTTATGACTGGTGTAGTCACTCGGAGTAAGACCTGCAGTACCCTTGATGCATTAAATACCAAGCTTGGTTGGACTTTCCAAGGACGGACATCCATCGTGAAGTCGTAAAAAACCCACTCGAGCTTGGTCGTCTGTGTCCTGCAGATCACCGGTACAGAACAAGTTGAAGGCGCCCTCCGATCATTCTGGGAGCTAGAAGGCCTGGGAATCACAGATTCAGAAGACCAGAAGTCCGAAACAAGCCAAGAGATGCGCCATTTTGAGCAGAACATTCGCCGGTCGGGCACACAGTACAAAGTGGCATTATCGTGGAAGGCCAATATACGTCTCCTTAAGGACAACAAGCAAGTAGCGATGACGAGACTTCGGAAACTAGTAGGTTGACTTTACAGAACTGGCTCTCTAATACTTCGTTACGACAAAACTATCAGAGAGTATCTGATAGCGGATCACGTTGAAGTGGTACCGAACGAGACAACTGGTGAAGAAGGCAGACTATTTTACATGCCACATCGCGAAGTCATCAGAAAAAATTTGCTGACGACACGACTTCGAGTTGTTTTCGATGCATCCTCGCACGCAGCTGGGCGCAAGTCTCTGAACGAATGTTTAGAGAAAGAAGACAAGCTCTATCAAGACCTTCTTGGAATTTTGCTGCGATTTCGGGTGAGCCGCTTCGCCATAACCTCAGACATCCAGAAGGCATATTTTCAAATATCTGTCAGAGAACAGAAAAGGACAGTGATGCATTTCGTTTTTGCTGGTTTCAAGATCCACCGTCTTTGACCTTTAAAGATGAAGAGGTAGAGACGTGGAGGGTGACGAGGGTTCCTTTTAGTACAACCTGTAGTCCGTTTCTTCTGACGGCTACGATCCTCCAACACCTGAAAAATTTGCCGACAGAAAAGGAGGAAGTGGCTGACGTACTTTGTAACTCCTTCTACGTGGACGACTTGGTTACCGGCACAGCTACCGAGGAGGAAGCCATCAAGTTCTACCATGACGCCAAATCTATTATGCAGAACGCAGGAATGACTTTCCGAAAGTGGACGACAAATTCGCAAGCACTGAGAGATGTGCTACTTCGAGAAGAGGCAAATCCAAAAAACACCACGCCTATCCTTGAACAAAGGCTAAAGGGTAGGATCCAGAGAAGGATGTCTTGAAGTTTGCGTTGCCTATTTTACAAAAAGTCCTTGAGTTGAATAATGGCACTAAACGATTTGTTCTACAAGCAGCATCTAGGATTTTCGATCCCCTAAATGTCTTGTCGCCCTCCACAATCCGAGTGAAGACACTGTTTCAGAAGCTATGGGCGAGAAGAGTCACTTGGGACAGTGCCCTACCCGAGGATCTGAAGAACGAATGGCATGAATGGTGTCGTGACCTTCCAAAGATGGATGCACTTGTCATCCCGAGATTGGTATTCCAAGCAGGACAGGGCAAGGACACCCGGATTTATATTTTCTGCGACGCAAGCCCAACTGCCTATGGAGCTACAGCGTACGTTAGAACGAAGTCATCGCCACCTGAACGATCTACACTTTTATTGGCAAAAGCTCGGGTTGCTCCAATCAAGAAGCAGACTCTTCCTCGCCTGGAACTTATGGGAGCCGTCATCGCATCGAGACTGCACAAATATCTTGAGAAAACCATCCCATGCATTCCGTATAACTATACGTTGTGGACGGATTCTCTCATCACACTGGCATGAATCAAGAGCGACCCCAGCAAGTGGAAGACTTTCGTGTCCAACCGAGTTGCAGAGATACAAAGGGACACCGATCCCTCTCATTGGAGCTACTGTGCGGGAAGTGACAATCCAGCGGATTTACTTACCCGTGGCAGCGCAGGTTCTCGATTGGTGTCGAGTGATTTATGGTGGTCAGGACCAAAGTGGTTGACTGAACACGAGAAGGAATGGCCTGACCTGAGGTTCAGACGTCCCGTGGACTTCTATGTAAGCTTTAGTGACGTAACGTAACGTAAGGAAACAGGGCTGCGTAAACCAGCCATTATGCCGTTTTGACGCGAGCTGTTTTGATTGTGCTTTGTCGCGTACTTTTTATTCTCGTGCAGTTCCATCGCGCGTTCTTCGTCTTTTTTTTTGTGTGTGTGTTGCTGTTGATTTTCCAGTTGTTTTGCTGTGTCATCGATTTTTGACGTTGTGAATATGCGAATGAGGGTGTGGTTCTAAAACTTGCGTTAAAACGGCGTATAGCGTGCCTATCGGCAGACACACTATCTTGTCAAGAGATTGTCAGAGAACATTGGCATTGAGAATCAGATAGGTGAAAGCTCTACCCATATTTTTTCCAGTTCGTTTAATTGTACGTTCGTTTACATTTCATTTGCTGAATTTCACAATCCACAAGGTTTACTTTATCCGTTGCACGAACCATGCGCTGTCACCGCAAATAAGAGACGCGTCAGAGCAACGCATATATACGTGGCCCTTGCTTTTTTCCGGCAAAAGAAAGACAGTTGATGGTTGCATCGTAACAAACATTATTACATACTAACACGTGGTTAGAAATCCGTTAACAATGCAACACAAGGCGACATATTGACGCGCGTTGGAGCGTCACGTTCAGAGCGTGTGTGCTGCCTGCGCCGCATGCAGGTCTGAAATGATTACGACTAGAGAGTACGACTGTCGACGTCAATCTGTTGAGTGCGGAATTTTGTGCTCTAAGGCTTATTGACATCCTGATGCTTCGCCATGCGGGCAGAAGCTTCGGCTACCGAAGCAAGGTGAAAACAGCGCATAATCAAACGCTTTTGGGCCCACAATTTATCAAACGCCCCTAAAAAAAAAAAAAATTGTACATATAAAGCACACGATTTGCACTCTTATATATATATATATATATATATATATATATATATACATATATATATATATATATATATATATATATATATATATATATATATATATATATATATATATATATATATATATATAAAGTCTTTTAAAGTGTAGTATATCTTGTGCATGCTGCGTTTTAATTTTAGTATTTGAAGGCTAGTCTTTTCGAATGCATTGTGCGCATTTTTTTATTGTTTGGTACCTGGTAGCGCGCGTACGTGAACACTGCCGCTGACGCGTGCCCATGGTACCAGATCAGCTGCAAAGATGTGAGCACACAAAGTATTTTTTCTTTAGATGTACTATAAGTAAACTAAAAGCGTGCTTCAATCGCACTTTCTCGGGTATAATTATTTGTTTTATAAATGTGCACTAGTGTACTCCTGTAGTCGCTGTCACCTTAAAGGTGTATTCACACGAAGGACTTTGTCCGCGGACAAGTTCCTACGAAAGGCGCGACGTCACCTCTTCTGGGTATAAAATCGGCCATGTTTCTGGCGAAAACAGCAGGCAAAACCAAGGGACATGTCCACGGACCTGAAGAACATGTCCTCGGACCTGATGTAGCTTGCGCATCACGTGGGCGAACGTCACAGAATATGTCCGCGGACCTGCCGGACCACGAATATAGGAGTTTTGAACGCGAGCCAATAGACCGATCTCACCAAGTGTTCGGCGCATGCGTGACGCCGCCATAGCTTTAGGTCACAGGAGGCAAAATGCAGTGCAGGAGAGGGCTCGTGCTGTCTCGTGCTCCTCACGCGCGGAGCTCTAGCGAGGTTGCCGCACGTGCAGAACGACTAAAGTTTCCTCGATGCATTGCGGCAGCGGTGGCGTAGTCAAACTGGCTGGTGAGATCGGTCTATTCTGCCTTTTTTCGAGTCCGCTGGGGCCCGCAGACAAGCCCAGGAACCGATCGCGTGAAAGTGCTCGCGGAACAGTTAGTTGCACGAGCGTTTTTCTTTTTTTTATATGCCTCTCACAGTTCTCGTACACGGATGGGCCCTTGCTCATTTTCCAGTACGATTAGTACGCACGAGCTACAGCTGTGGAAGATTCTCGAGGGTTCCTGTGCATAGTGCATAGTGGAAAGAAAAGCCGAAAAGAAAAAGAAAGAAAACGACGGGAAATTGTTTTCGATTCCAACACGGAGGTCAACAAGGCTTCACGAGTTGTTGTGGCTTGTGCCCTCATGATGGCGGATGAGGGAGTCGCGGAAGCACCTAATACCGACGCAAAGAAGCTATGGATTAAAGCATGGATGTCCAAGAAGAACCTCGGTATACAAAATCTACTCTATTAAGAACTTCTGGAGAGCGACCTTGTCCTAACCGCCGCTTGCTGCGCGTTAACACCGACCATTTTGCTGACATTCTTTTGTCAATTGCGTCATGCATCCAAAAACTTGACACTGAAGTGCGTCCAGCCATCCCAGCCAAAGACAAACTTCAACTGACGCTGCGGTTTCTTGCCTCGGGTGTGTGGTTATTCTTCTTACTTTTGTCCTTGTTTCAGCATATTTGAGAACTACGCCTTAGCCGTGTTTCTTGTTTTCTTGCTAATTTTCAGGGGAAAGTCAACATTCTTTAAGCAGGCAGTTCTGCATTAGCTACAGCGCCGTCAACGTGTTCCTTGTTGAAACTTGCGACACCATTTACAAGATGCTGGGACCAAAATATCTGGTGTCCCCGCGGACAAAAGACGAGTGGCTGGCAGTAATGAAGAACTTTTACGAAAGATGGCAATTTCCGCAATGTATTGGAGCGCTGGACGGAAAACATGTCACAATTATCAAACCTCTAAACTCTGGATCTGTGTATTTTAATTACAAGAAGACCTTCAGTATCGTGCTTTTTGCTCTTGTAGACGCAGACAGCAGGTTTTTGTACATTGATGTCGGCGCACCTGGGTCTGATAGAGATGAAGGCATTTGAAAGACGACACCACTGCGGAACGCCATCGAGAACGGAACAGCCGGACCGCCGATCTCTGGACCTGGAGCGGTCGGCGTCCCACCCGTCATCGTGGATGACGACGCCTTCCCCTTGTCTATAAACTAAATGAATCCGTACACTGGTTTGAATGACGAAAAGGTTATATTTAATTACAGGTTTGTTGCCTACATCGTGTCATTTCTAAATATCATTTTTCGTATAGTTTCATTTTTCTCATTTCAGATTAAGGCGAGCCAGACGGGTAGCAGAAAATGCGTTTGGCATTTTGGCAAACCGTTTTAGGCTTTTGCAGGCGACTATTGATGCCGAACTAGGAGGGGTCACCTCATTCGTGAAGGCAGCGTGTGTGCTGCACAACTATTTGCGGGCTGCACCTGTGCTTTATAAAGCGTCAAGGGAGTACCACCAGCGAAAAAGGACAATCTACTTCGGGCTACGAAGTTACAAAGGGCGCTCCGGGGCGAGAGCTCTGGATGTGCGTGAGCGCCTACGGAGATACTTTATTTATTTATTTATTTCAAAATACTGCGACCTCGATGAGGTCATCGCAGGAGTGGAGAGAAAACATACATATACATTCAAAAAGACAATCGATTAAAGATGTACACACCCTACAAACAAAACTTAGAAAACCTTGAAAAATGCAATATCAAAAGATTACAAAAACAATCACATACACTTCAAGTACAGATTCCAGGCACCATACCAGAACACCTACTGTATTTCTAACACAAACTTATCAAAATCGAGACAACGAATGGATCCATTTATGTTATTCCAGTTTTCTATCGTTCTAGGAAAAAAAGAATATTTAAAACAGTTAAGGTGGGCTCTGTATGGTACAAGATTTAATGGATGGAAGCTTCTAGTGCGTGATTCAGTAACAAAACTAACATATTTTTCTCGATTAAGTGTACAGTTATTATTCACTATTTTATGCAGGAGCTTGAGCCGTTCTACAGCGCGTCTAGAATCAAGAGGCGTAAGTCTTATGTCAGTCATGGCAGATGTAGGAGAAAAATTGCGGTCATATCTATTACAAATAAATCTAGCTGCCTTTGATTGTATTGCGTCAATCTGCTTTATATCACCTTTTAGATAGGGATCCCACACCACACAACCGTACTCTAAGATAGGTCTAATCAAGGTCTTGTACGCCGTTATTTTAACTTCCCTAGTTGAAGATTTTAAAGTTCTCTTGACGTATCCTAGCCTTTGCAGAGCACGAGAACAAATAGAACTGATGTGCTTATCCCATTTGAGACTAGGCGTGAAAAAAATACCCAAATACTTGTATTCGTGAACTTGACGCAGAATTATATTACGAGTACCATAGCTAAAAACAGACGGTTCCTTCTTATTAGTAAATGACATAACTACAGATTTCTCAAAATTAATTTCCATCTGCCACTTTTTACTCCAATTCAAAAACTGTTCAAGAGAGTCATTTAGTAAGGCATGGTCATCTACCGAGTTGATTTCGTTGTACAAAACGCAATCATCTGCATAGAGGCGAATTTTAACTTGAAGACCATTTGCAACGTCATTAATATAAAGTAAAAACAAAAGAGGACCTAAAACTGATCCCTGTGGGACACCGGAACTAACTGAGACATTGCTAGAATGAACATCCCTGTATGAAACAAACTGTGATCTATTTTTTAGGTAATCTTCGATCCAATTAACTAATGACGTATTATTTAATATCGCTTGTAATTTCTGAAGAAGCTTATGATGTGGTACCTTATCAAAAGCCTTAGAATAATCTACAAAGATGGCATCAAGTTGTACTCTTTTATCTAAAGCTAAAGCTATGTCGTGAGTGAATTCAAGAAGTTGGGTTGAGGTGGAGTAACCACGACGAAAACCATGCTGTTGAGGGCAAAGAATAAAATTAGTCTCGAGGTACTCAGATATCTGTTTATAGACAATATGTTCCAAAAGTTTGCATGAAGACGATGTGAGCGAAATGGGTCTGTAGTTTGTGACCACCTGTTTGTTGCCTGACTTGAACAAGGGGATAATTTTAGCCGACTTCCATGACTGAGGCACTGTTGCAGTAGAAATAGATTTTTTGAAAATGACAGATAGGTATTTTGAACTCCAAAGTGAATAACGGCGAAGAAAAGAATTTGGAATTCCATCAGGGCCAGGGCTTTTCTTACAGTCAAGTTTCATTAGTAGATTGAGGACACCAGAAACACTAATCTCTAAATCAGATAAAGCTGGGTATATACCTTCAAAGAAAAACTCTGAATCATTGCCGTTGTCACGACTGAATACAGATTTAAAATAATCATTGAAACAGTTCGCTATCTTTGTCGGCTCACTTACAGATTCACCTTCAATAGTAAAACTCTGTGATACACTACATCTTGGAATAATAGATCTCCAAAATTTGGCAGGATTTGATTTCATAAATTCAGACAAAGTTACATTAAAATATTTGGTTTTAGCTGTTAACATCTTTTCTTTCAAGGTTGTTTTCAGATATTCAAACGAGGTATGAACAACTGATTCTGTGTTATCTTTCGTTGAACGACGTCTCCTCTTCGTTTGCCGCATCAACTGCAGCACCTCTCTCGTAATCCAGGGGTGCGCAGGGTTCTTTTTCTTTCTAGTAACAGGTACAAATTTGTTGATGCATTTTTCTATAAGGGAGTTGAAATATCTAAGCAACGTATTGACATCAGCGTCTAGACTTATGGCACAAAAATCATCAAAATAAAAACTAAGTTCATCAATAATTGACACATCGTCAGCTCTGTTGAAATCAAGGAACGTGACGAATTCAGGGTTCGAACGCTTGACACGAATGTTAAGGCTGACAAGGACAGCTTTGTGATCAGAAATTCCCTCGACCACCTCGCAGTCATAGCCTAGGTTTGCGATACTATGGGTTAGAAAAACAAGATCAAGAACAGAATTATCTCTGGTGCACGTTTTGACAACCTGATCTAGGTCGAATGACACAGCTATATCTACTAGAGCATCACAAATGGCCCTGTCGCGACAGCCAACCACTAGCGTTTCCCAGTTTATATCTGGTGCATTAAAATCGCCCAGCAAGATAAGCTTGAAATTCGCCAGATTGTATTTGTGAATGTAGTCATATATATCAAAGATCGTTTGCAGGCCCGAACTAGGAGCGCGATAAACCGCTCCGATAACAAGAACGAACTTATCAAGCTGCACCTTACACCATAAAGACTCTGTGTTAGGTAAACAGGGAAGAACCGAAAAGCTAATACCAGATTTAAAAAAAAGCGCGACACCACCACCTCTAGAAGACCTATCGCATCGTACCACGTTGTAATTAGGAGGTGTAAATTCGCAATCAAGAATGCCATCGTGTAACCAGGTTTCCGTAACACACATCACGTGCGGTGAATAAGAAGCTGCAATGCACGAGAACTCTGTAAATTTAGGGACAAGGCTCCGAGCATTAATGTTTAATACAGACAATGGTTTATTCGGTAACTGTCAGTTCGATCCGGTGGCAAGAACCGGAGGAGGAACTTTTATCAGCGTTCTATTTGTTGAATCCCACGAGTATCGGTCGTTGTCAACAAGAGCGTAGTCGTAACGTAGACGGACCTTTGCGCCATTTCTTCGGAATTCGGCAGTACTAAGCCAGAGTTGTTTTCGAATGTCTCTAATACGAGGTGAAAAATCCTCGTTAATAAATATCCGTGTGCCTTTAAGTTTAGAAACATTTTTGAGTATCCGCATTTTGTCACGGAAGTCCATCAATTTAAAAATTATAGGTCGTATTTTACCTTGTGCGGGGATACCAATACGATGACAGCGTTCTATGGCATCGCAAGTCACAGACAGTTTTCTGGTCAACAGTTCAGTTACACTATCCAGTAGTGATGCAGGGGTTTCATTAACAGGCTCTTCTAGACCATACACGACCAAGTTGTTTCTGCGAGAACGGTTTTCCAAATCATCATTCTTATCTGTAAGTTGACAGACAGCTGTTTCGAGAGCGGCACTCTTTCTTTCTAGACACTGCAACCGTCGGGCGATATCAGATATCTGGGACGAGCCAGCTTCGATTGCAACAAGTCGAGATTCGTAGGCGGCAAACTTAGCATCCAGAGCCTCTTGTCTGTTTTTGATAGAAGTAACGTCCGCAGCAATTTGTGTTTGGCCAGTTAGTAATTGCTGAAGGAGAGCTAGCGTCTCGGGGCCAGGGTTAGATTCAATATCGCCACTACACAACAGGATAGATGAACATATCCTAAACCATGACAATATATCAGAACAAATGCCAACCAGTGGGCCCGGTAGCAGCAAAAGAAAGCGATCATCGGACTTAAAACCGTCTGGCAAAGAAACAAACTCTACCTGTAGGGTGAGACAGAAGAAACTCAGTGGCATATTCGTCTCGCTGCCACCAAGCCCACTGAAGAGAAGAGACTGCGTCGATGGCTTTATGGCATCTGTAGCGGAAGTAGGTGTCGCTGCGGTGCTTCCGTAGAGGGTCCAATCCAGTGTTGCTAGATGAAGTGCAGGCCGGTCGTCAAAAGGTGTCGAATCATCACACGATGACGGGGGTTCAGGAACCAGAAAGCGGGAACTGGCGAACCCGTGCGGCAACAAATCCGCGGTGACGCGGCATACGGAAGCCGGGGATGACCAGACCGTTCCGAAGACAGCGATCTGTAGGGTGAGACAGAAGAAACTCAGTGGCATATTCGTCTCGCTGCCACCAAGCCCACTGAAGAGAAGAGACTGCGTCGATGGCTTTATGGCATCTGTAGCGGAAGTAGGTGTCGCTGCGGTGCTTCCGTAGAGGGTCCAATCCAGTGTTGCTAGATGAAGTGCAGGCCGGTCGTCAAAAGGTGTCGAATCATCACACGATGACGGGGGTTCAGGAACCAGAAAGCGGGAACTGGCGAACCCGTGCGGCAACAAATCCGCGGTGACGCGGCATACGGAAGCCGGGGATGACCAGACCGTTCCGAAGACAGCGATCTGTAGGGTGAGACAGAAGAAACTCAGTGGCATATTCGTCTCGCTGCCACCAAGCCCACTGAAGAGAAGAGACTGCGTCGATGGCTTTATGGCATCTGTAGCGGAAGTAGGTGTCGCTGCGGTGCTTCCGTAGAGGGTCCAATCCAGTGTTGCTAGATGAAGTGCAGGCCGGTCGTCAAAAGGTGTCGAATCATCACACGATGACGGGGGTTCAGGAACCAGAAAGCGGGAACTGGCGAACCCGTGCGGCAACAAATCCGCGGTGACGCGGCATACGGAAGCCGGGGATGACCAGACCGTTCCGAAGACAGCGATCTGTAGGGTGAGACAGAAGAAACTCAGTGGCATATTCGTCTCGCTGCCACCAAGCCCACGAAGGCGCCGTCGCGTGGCAGAGGGAACAGGCGGACCTTAATCTGCGGATAAATAACAAAAGTTAACCTTATCTGCATGTGCAGACAAGTGCAGAAGCAAAGAACGGGGAGTGTATATATACGTAGATGCCATTTCATGGTCTGTATATTGCTTTCTTTACTTAACAATCGTTGATGCATGTGTTGGCAAGCTGACCACAAAAACGTTTTTTTTTTTTTTTTTTTTGTACTCTAATTGTTTGATTTTATGTAAATATACTTCCAAGAATCATCAATGTTTCGTCATTTTTTTATTTCGTCATGCTATAATATTGGTCACAATCTAATGCACTGGCCCACTCCAACAAAAACAGCCGTCAGTTCCGAATGTAATAAGTACGAAAGGCAAAGGATACAAACACTTGTTTGTTTCAAAGTGTGCCTTTCACTTACGAATGTGAAATTCTAATTTTGGTGTATCATTTTTTAGTTTGAATAGGGTTCGTTGAATTAAATTCATTTGTACGGTCGGTCTAGGCAACGTTTGACTAGTTTCAATACCTCAATCTGTCACGGAGTAGAATTGGTTCCATTCAGGTTCCTCATGTGACCCACCACTACTCTTCCGAAATTGTCAGCGTCGTCGCCAATTTGTTTAGTTGCGAATCTTTCGGCAATTTAATGAAAGTAACCGTGCACTTTTTCCACCCAGAGCTGGAGCAGTCCTCTGCTTTTTGCTTTCTCTCCGTCATCGCATTTGGGCGCTTCACAGGAGTGCCAGACACTTCCTCACTGGGGCTCGTTGTTCCGCGCGCTGTGCGTGTGGAAGGCGCGCCAAGGACGGGTTCCCTCATCTCGGTCATAACAGACGCCAATTCTGTCTCACTGTCCATCTGGAAAGGCAAAAGAAATACGAATGCGTTAGGGTAGAGGACACATATGTAAAGCACCGCTTGTACGGCAGAATATCGCAAGTGTCGGCCATTTGCTGTTCAGAGTATTGAGGGAGAGATAAAGAGAAAGATAGAGAGAGGGAGACAGAGTTTTTAGTAGTGAAGGGAGGAGGGCGATTGGTTGCGTGACCAAGGGTAGATGTCACCACCGTAGTATTGCGGGAGAAGTGAGTGTTGTGTTTTAAAGAGACGCGGCAGGTCGAACCCATGAAGGCTCACCGGCGGTTGGCCATTTGACTTGCAAAATTTAAGAAAAAAAAGAGGTTTACTCTATGGAGGACCTGAAACTTGTATGCAACTGCATTGCGGCCAGGACACAACGCGCGGGCCGCCGGTAGTCAAACCCTAGGATAGTGTCTCGCAGCTTCATCCAGCGATTACCAGCACTCCAAGAGACCTTGATTAACACGAGTGAACAAAACAAAATGCTGAAACATGTAGAGCAAAGCCAGAGCTCGGACGTCACTCAAGCTAGTGGGATTCAGTGACCTCCATCAACGAACGCTCGCCAACGTTTCATTCGATAGGTCTGGAGATACAACTAGAATAGAAAGTTGGACGAGTTGGTAAGAATCCATTTGAAAAACAGCGCGAAAGACACACGGACAAGAAGTAGTTGATAGTCAGCGGCTCGTCCTTTGTCTCTCCTTCTTGTCCGTGTGTCTTTCGCGCTGTTTTTCAAATGGAGAATCAAGTTAAACGAATCGGCGAACCCGCCAAACGTAACTCACTCCATCGGGATCCTCATGTTGGTAAGACTCGTTGAACTCCCGGGAAAGGACAGGTTTGCTCCGATCCTCTAGTATTTACATTTGTCGGTCTTTTTAGTTTTGTCAAAGATGGCGTAACAACGGACATCAGTTTTGTAATAAAAGAAGGTGCCACGCGCTGGCGGCCTCGAGGCCAGCGCTCGGTCAGACGTTTGCCAACACTCAAACAGGACGGTTGTTTTTCCTTTCGCCACCGGGTAAACCAGACAGGGTTCACTCGGGAAGACGGCTTCTCCGGCTCGGCCATGGAACACCGGCACCTCCGTCCGATGAGTCCTTCATAGTTTTAGCGCCCCGTAGGCGCAATAGTACAGATCCAAGAACAGGAGACTGCGGTAGAACCGCCATCTACCGTTGTACGTGTACACCGCAGCTTGGTCGCTCCTCGTCTTCATGGTCTTTTCCTTCTCCCGTCTGAAGACCGCGTCGCCTATTTTTAAAAAAAGCCCCTCACTCCCTCTGAAATATCATACAACAATAAGCAATCAAATACAACTCGGAGTCGGCACTAACTAGTCTGCCTTCAACGATCTTACCTTCCGTGTAAGGCCCATACTGGGAGTAGCGCCGTTCCATTTCATTGGCAATTTGTTTCCAGAGCTCTGGTGTTATGCCGTTGTTGTGGTACTGGTCGTTTCGAAGGCACCAAAGCTGTGGAAACTCTTCTACAAGTGCAATTACACACAGCGTCGCTTCATCGCTGAGAGCCTTCATCGTTGTTGTCTTCAATGCCAGGTTCATCAGACGCTGGCGGAATAGGAATAGACCGTCACGTGCGTTGCGTGGCCATTCTCTTGTAGCTTGAAACGCAGCGAAGCACAACCAAGGCTCTCGGCGCTAGGTGAGAGCGTTGGGAAATACCAATCCTGAACAGTATTGCTAGTGCAACGAAGGCAGCGAGAACGGTACGAGCTCGGACTCGCAGTTCTCACCTTGGTTTACGGCAACCATGAAGTATTAATTCGCATGTGCTGTGACTTGCACATGTCCGCGGACTTGTTCGTTGTGACGTCGAAGCCACGTGATACGCATATTTCACAGGTCCGCGGACATCGTTCCCGGAATTTGCCCGCCGTGTGAATACACCTTTAGAGACGCAAAAATTGCGATTCCCGAGCATCTTATCCTCAATCTGCAGCCAATTAAATTGAGGCATTAGCCGATAAGTAAGTTAAAGTATGAATCACGATTCTAGAAGAGAGTACACAATAAGTCACTTTCTGCGTTTCTCCAACTGTCGGGGATGTAGAGCTTTCCGCCACGAAACGCCCACCTTCCATCCTCACCTGGCGGCCAAATTGCGGCGAGGTCCGGCGGTG